AGATACTCTGGTCGTGCTCTTCAGTGTCACAGACCAAGACTCTGGAGACAATGGAAGGACCTCCTGCTCTGTGGAGATGAATTTGCCCTTCCTGTTGAAACCCACTCTGAATAATTATCATCAACTGGTGACCCAAAGGCCACTGGACAGAGAGAAAGTCCCTGAGTATAACATCACCATCACAGCTACTGATTGGGGCTCTCCTAGGCTCACTTCAAGAAGAACCATTAGGATTTTGATCTCAGACATCAATGACAACTCTCCAGTGTTTGAAAAGGCAAAGTATGAGAAGCGAGTGTGGGAAAACAACATTCCAGGCTTGCTGATGGGTTCGGTCCGTGCTGTCGATCTGGACACGGAGCAGAATGCCAAGGTGACCTATTCCCTGGTGCCTGGAAATGCCAGTGGTGCTCCCGCAGCCTCTTATGTTTCCATCAACTCTGAGACGGGGAACCTCTATGTCCTGCGATCTCTGGATTATGAGCAGATCAAGGAGTTCCAAGTGACGGTGAGGGCTTCAGATGGGGGCTCTCCTCCACTGAGCTCCGAAGTTGTTGTTCGAATTGTGATCCTGGATGAAAATGATAATGCTCCCTTCTTCCTCTACCCAGTTCAGAACAGCACCTCCCCCTTCAACGAGCTGGTTCCCAAGTCAGCGGAGTCCGGTTACCTGGTTGCCAAGGTGGTGGCTGTGGATGGGGATTCGGGCCAGAACTCTTGGCTTTCCTATGAATTGATAAAGGCCACAGACCCCAACCTTTTCAGCATAGGAGCCCAGAATGGAGAAGTCAAAACCCGGAGACCATTGACAGAGCGAGATACCAACAAGCAGAGACTGATTATCCTGGTGAGAGACAACGGCCACCGTCTCCAGACCAGCACTGCAACCCTGAATATCCTTCCGGTGGATGGCTTTTCAGATCCTTATCTGAATATTGCAAGTGTCAGTCATGAAGCCGGTGAGGAAGACGGCTCCTTGACAATCTACCTGGTGATCTGCTTGGCTGCAGTGTCCTTTGTGTTCCTGATTTGCATCATTGTGTTTGTTGTCATCAAAGTGCACAAGAAAGACTCTAGTTTTATCACCGCCCTGCCTCAGTTCCCACCTGCCTTACCTGAGATCCCAGAAACTGGTGTCGATTCTCAGAGTGGATCCCTTTCCCGGACTTATCACTACGATGTTTGCCTAACTGGTGGATCCTTAAGCAGCGATTTCAGATACCTTAGGCCTCTCATTCCTGTTTTCTCTATGGGAGACCCAAACGTTTCTGAGAATCACAGGATTTCTTCTGCCTCTCAAGAGGCTCCTGAGCAGGCAGAAGGCCAAAAACAAAGAGAACAGGTATGTAAATAGCTGGGGTGGGCCCTTTCGTCTGGATTATGTTTTGTCAGAATTTTTAATATAAACTCTCAGTTACATTTATTAATTTCTGCTTTTCTCTGTTAATTAATTGCATTTTGCCTTTTTGAAGACATCTATCGTGACTTGATAAGTGCCATTGAGAACAGTGTATGTATTTCCATTGAGTTCAGGATATTCAGCTGTGCTTCTCCATCTACTTTAAGATTGTCCCTTTGTTATCCCTGTTGTCTTCCTTATTAGGCTGTAGTCCTTGATGTCAGGTCCTCTGGTGCCTAGGACTCAAGAAAGGTTTTTCTGCTGAGCCAACTATCCTTTTGAAACTGGCTCATCCTCCCATTTTTTTGGTCCTCTGCCCCTCTTTCCATTGGACCTCTTCTACCACAGATCATTTATTTAAGTCCATTTTACCAAGCACATTGCTGGATGCTGGGATTCTTTCTTCAACATCCCTGCCTCCTGGTCATTAGCTTTCTGACTTTCTGGAGCTTTTTACCCTTAAGGCTGACTCCTGACTTTGTTAGAAATTACAGTTTCTCCATGTATGACAGTATGAGGCACAATAAAGCTATGAAGTGATAGTTATATATATGCATTTTCATACACTGTTATCTACATGGGTGGGAACATAGCCATTCTAGAATGCAGGTGTATTATCCACACATTTCCTGTGCTTCTTATGTTTGCCGCATATTTTATGACACTCCCCTAAGATGCAGTGTTCCCTCTAAGCCGAGTTAGTGTGAGTTAGCTCACAGTTTTTTAGCCTCCGGCCCACACATTTTTGTCTTAGCTAAGGATGGCTCCAGAACAAACTAATTTATGCAGTAGCCAAATTGCTCACTCACAATTTTAATGCCAGTAGCTCACAAAGTAGAATATTTGCTCACAAGACTCTACAGCTTAGAGGGAGCAGTGCTAAGATGGCTGCAAACAAACTCTTCTCAGGCTTGTTTTTGCCTCCTTTTCTATTTCCTGGGGAGCCATAGCACTTCCTGCCCTGATTGCTGTGCCCGTCAAGGTGTACAGATATCATTACACCAGCAGTCAGACTTAGAGAACCTAGAAAGGGAAAGGAATTTGAATGAATAATGTTTATTTGCAGTCAAGGACCATTTATCAAAATAATATATATTCATTAAATACAAGCAAATTAGCTTTCAGCTCCAAAAATATTTCGACGTATTTAGATATATAACCTTAAAATCCTTAAAATGTTAAAAGGAGAAAAGTTTAACAGTACCTTATATCAAAATAATTATAAAATGTCTAAAACTAAACTAATTAAGAGTCATGCAAAAGGTAAGTGAGTATTATGCTTGATTTACTTCTTATTGTGGAATTTTACCAGTTTACCAGACCTCGGGTCTCCTGCACTTCTTTCCCACATAAAGAGGGAGACAAAATCTCAGTGGTATGCTATCACAAGGTAGGCACAGAAGCCACAATTCATAGTAGCAGGGCATGGTTAAATGTCAATAGGCACCTGTGCAAAGCAGTACAAGTCCCCAAATGACCCCTGAACGCAGGACTAATCATACTACCACAGGCACCAGTCTCTCTCAACACAGGCTGGAGTTCTCTCTCCCCTTTGTCAGCAACAGCTTCCTCGAAGCAAGCGTTCTTAAAGTACTTCAGGCAAAGAATAGGGCAGGGCTGAACAACTAGTCTCTTTCAGCATTGGCTGAAGTTTTCTCTCTCCTCTGTGGCATCCCCCTTATTTATATAAATCAGATCCACCAGTGGTTAAAAAAAAATGTTTTAACAAGAGATTAGTTTGAGAACCATAATTGAAAAAGATAGGTTTTGTGTTAAAGGAGATTTTACTGTTAATGAGGGTGAAGAGGCAGGTAAAAAGCTTTAAAAAAAATTAAAAATCTAGATTGGATGGTATTATGGTAGAGTGTTATCAAGTAATGACAGTGATGTAATATTAACTCTTACTGAAACTTTTTAATGATTCCTTAAGAAATGGTAACATTCCAGCTACATTGAACCAGAAAGGGTAATTCACACACACAAGGAAGGTAAGGACTCTGCAGAGCCAAGCTTATAAAGAACAATATCTCTGCTAACGTAAATTACAAGATCCTTACATCCATTCTAGCAGAAAGACTGAGTAATGTTATTGGTGGGTGTATACACTATGACAAATCTGAATTTATGATAGGTACATATTTAGCAAATAATACTTGGAGAATTATTTCCGTATTGAATGATGTGGAGAGGAAAGAGCTAAAAATTACTTTAATGCTACTTGAGGAAGAAAAAGCTTTTGACTGCATTGAATGGAGTTTGTTCAAAAACCTTGAGGCATTTAATATTAAAGGGAAATTCCTGCATATTATAAAAGCTGTTTATAGTCAATCTTATGAGCATCTTCAGGTAAATAGTGAAACATCTGATAATGTTTAACTTAGGCATGTGTCAGAGTGGTCCACTGTCAGCTATTTTATTTGCTATTAATATTGAACCATTAGTTGAATTAATTAAAAGTAAATCAGGAATTACTGGGATCAATTTGGCTGGACAAGAATGTACAATAATCCCCTATGCAGATGACATATTATTGTCACTAATTATGAGAAATCAATTGAACAAATTCTGACTTGCATAGAGGAATATAGAACACTTTGGGTTAAAAAATTAATAAATACAAACCAGATTTAATTAGATTGAATTTAGCTGAATATATGCAAAAAGAGACTTCAGCTGCATTGGAGTTGAGTTGATCTCCAACTGTTGGGAGATACCTGGGTGTTGGCTTAGCTCTAGCACAAAATAATTATTATTATCAGATAGTATGGCATCAGATCAAGTTAGACCATGTTAAATTTGCTTTGTTTGGTAGGATTACTGCCATAAAACGTTTGTAGTCCCATAGCTTCTGTTCCTGTTTGAGAATATCCTGATTGTTTTATCTGAAGCAAGATTACAAGATTAGGAAAGGGAAATTGTGAAATGTGTTTGGATCAATAAAAAGCCTGGAGTAGTATTAGAAATTTAGTATTTCCTAAATTATTGAAATGACATCAAGTGGTGATATTAAAAACAATAAATGGGTCTATGTATCAAGGGATGCTGTATGGCTCCGTATTGAACAAGTTGGATGTAAGATTGTTTTGACTCAATTACCATGGCATGCTATTAAAACAGAGGAAGATAAAAAAGAATGTCCTAAGTATGTTTACCTCCTAATATATAGTGCCAGAAAAGTCTGGGGTCTCATACAGGGGAAAAATGAGTACATCCGTGTTATTATTACAATTATTTATATATGACCAAGCCTATAAGATTATGCCTCCTTGTGCAAGTTGGATTGCCAGTAACTTTATAAGGTTTGTCTATATTATTAAAAAGATGAATGTTTACCCTAGACAGAAATGCTGCAGAAAAACAATGGGGTTAAATGGTTTTAGTTGTTTTTTAAGTTAATAATAATTGGCAGCTGTCACAATGTGAAAAATTGATATACATCAGTTTTAGCCCCCATTGGCACGATGTGCTGTTTTTTAAAGTTGGCAAAAATCATAGGTGATTCTGTGTCTGGAGTGGTTTAATATTTTTATTTCAGCCCCTAACAGAAAGTAATGTAGGAAAGAATGACATTTTTAATTAAGTTGTTTATCAATGGTATTTGACCCCTCAGAAATTAAATCATATTTTACATGTAAACAACATTTCCTGCTAGAAATGTAGATGGCTAGATGTGGACTATAGACATATGTTTTATGAACAGTATGAAGTTTTGAAGGGACAGAATTAGGGAAATTAAACAAATGATAGGAATAACCCAAGTAAATAGTCCTATATGTTTATGATTGGGAATTTTGTGTAGAGATATACATGTAAAACATAAAAGAATGGTTCTTGATTTATTGACAGCTATCAAACATTGTTATCTAACAACTGAAAAGAGGCAAAACATTTAAATGTTAAGGCTTAGATAAGTAAAGTATGGGAGTTTGCTAATTTGTTTAAATTGACTGAGTTTATTAAGATGAGAAATGGGAGGACTAAACATGCATACTTCTCTGATTTTTGGAAGCTGTTTTTAGATTTTTAGAAAAGAGAACTAGGTATTCAATTTGATGTTTTCAACTGTGTAATTTTTATATGATTTGGCTGGACTGATTGTGAAGTAGCGGATGACTGGGAAAAGAAAATGAGTTTAATTTAGCTGTGATATTATTGTTGCTCAGATACAGGAGTTTATTACCTTCTGTGAACTGATTGTTTATAGGCTGCTTATTTCAATGAGTTCTAGTTAAGACATGATATGGTACGAATTTTATTTATAATCTGCCTGATTTCTCCAGATCTATGTTGTATAATTATGTGTTCTACCATGTATTGTATTGTGTGAATGAAAAAAATAATTACTAGGGTGTGTATTTATATACTAGGGCTTCCTTCCCCCATTGCCAGGCACACAATTGATGGGGCTCAAAATGGGGCTCACAATCGACATCAGAATTATACTTGCAGAACTTCCTAATTCCTCCACTCTTGCTGTGACACTCTTCTTCAATGAGTCAGCTCAACAGAAATATTTACATCGTCATGTCAACAATTAATATCTAGAATGCTGAAATGCTTCATTCCCTTCATAAATCTGTCCCTCCTGCTGCTACTGTGTTACCATTCATTTGATTTAGAGCCTGCCTTTCTCACTGAGACTCAAGGCAGATTACAAAATATGCAAAGTCATTCAATAAAACACCAAAAAACCTCCAATAAGCAATTCTGTAGAACTAAGACCACAGAAGCAGACGACAATGTAACAAAACTGATACATGCGTAAGAATCGTCTCCCACCCCCAGTCAATAGCATAACCAATATGCATACATTGTACAGTTTCAGTGGTTATCGATATAGTGCAGCTACATCTAATGAACCAAAATGGGATTGGAAATACAAATCTACATGACCATAACTCATGGGAATGCCAAATTATACCAATCAATAACATATGACTCCACCCAACATCACTGTCCTCATAACTTATCACCTGTGATGAAATTTATGGCCTATCTTAAGTCCTGAAAGAGAAAGATCTTCCCTCATCACACTTTGCATTACCATAATTTCTCCAGTGTCTGCAGAGATTGTGTATACTGAAGGGGGAAAGAAACTATTAAGAGTTTTAGGTATACAATTTAATGGTCCAATGATGGATCATCACATGGAACATAGAAGCAACTACCAGCAAAAGTCATGGACCACAAACTTCATCATGGCTAGACACTACCATGACAATTGATCCAGATATTTAGCTTGTGGGGATGGCCAGCAATAATTTCTTTTAAAACATACTTCACTGAATCCAAGTCATCTTTAAAAAATGAATTTATAAGTTGTGGGTTATGTTTATGTAGGGTTGCCAGGTCTAAGTGACAAGCCTGTGGGGGACTTACCTGGATGCTCCAGTAGAGAGTAGGGAAGAAGCAAGCCGTGCCTTCACCATTTCCGAGTGATATAAGCATGTCAGGGACGTGGGGGAGGGGGATGTGCCTACGTCACCCAGAAGTGATATAGGCATGTTGGTGATGTTGGAGGAGATGCTCTGGGTTTGGGGCAAAACTCTATGGTTTGAAGCTAATTCTACCAGGTGATCCAGGCATGTCATATTCTCCCCCACTGACCAACCGGCGCAGGGGGGAACCCAAAACCAGGTGATCCCCCACGTGCTTGGGGGACCTGGCAACCATATACTTATGAAATATTTAAAGTACTGCAAGCTCTTATAACTGCCAACCTAGCAGTTCGAAAGCAAGAAATTGCAAGTAGATAAATAGGTACCACTTTGGTGGGAAGGTAACAGCGTTCCGTGCGCCTTGGTGTTTAGTCATGAAATGACCTCTGTGCTTATGAAATATTTAAAGTACTGCAAGCTCTTATAAGCTGCTTCATTGTAGTTTTTACTAGTCATAGATTTGTTCAAACACAAGGTGGTGCAATTGTGCAACACACAGCTGACTTTTAGGAAGTATTGGGTCTCTCACATAGCCCTTTCCTTCACATAGAAGGGATCTCAAAGAGAAACAGAAGACAATCGTCATTGCAGGCATAGTCAGAAATTTCAGAAGGAAAAAGCCACTGTATTTATTACTGACAACAAATACAGGAAAAAAAGAAATTTTCATTGGGAAAAGACAACAGAGCCAATTCCAGCAACTGCCTTCTTTACAAAGAACAAGCCTTTGTGTGAGAAAGTGGAAATGCATCACAACAAAAGGCAAGGTTGGTCTTTTTTCCTGTATCTCTGTATCTGTGGGGGACTATGTGATTCCTTCCTGTATTTAGTGCCTGAGGAACAGAAAAGTGGGTCTCTGGTGGCAAACGTGCTAAAGGATTTGAAACTGGATGTGAAGGGGCTGATTGCTCATGGGGCCTGGCTGGTTTCTGAAAGCAGCAAGCAATATCTCCAGCTGGATCCACACTCTGGGAATTTGTTATTAAAGGACAGAATAGACCGAGAAGGCTTTTGTGGTCAGAAGGACCCTTGCGTCTAGATTTCAGAGATTGTACTGGAAAATCCACTGCAAGTGCACAGAATTGAAGTCCAAATAGAGGATGTGAATGACAATTCCCCCCACTTTTCTAAAAAGGAATTCCTTCTTGAAATACCAGAACAGACTCCCCTGAATACCCGATTCCCGTTGGAGCGTGCTAAAGATGCAGATAGAGGAGAAAATGGTGTTCAGAATTACATAGTCCTAATGACCATTTTAGGTTGGATATTCAGAGTCAGAGCAATGGTAGCAAAAATTCAGAATTAGTACTGGAGAAACAGTTGGACCATGAAGAGAATGAACAGCTTTTCCTGATTCTGTCTGCTGCTGTTGGTGGGACCCGAAAGAGAACAGGCACAGCAAACATTATCATTCATGTTCTGGACAACAATGATAATGTCCCTCCGTTGCAGCAATCTCTACAAAGTGAAGATACTGGAAAACAGCCAGCCTAGCACACGTGTCATTAAAGCAGAAACAACTGACAGGGATTTAGGTTCCTTTGGGGAGATAATTTATCCGTTCGGCCAGGTGCCAGAAAACGTGCTCATTAAAGCAGAAACAACTGACAGGGATTTAGGTTCCTTTGGGGAGATAATTTATTCCTTCGGCCAGGTGCCAGAAAACGTGCTCAGATCCTTCAAGTTAAACGAACATACTGGGGAACTTATTGTTGCAGGAACCATTGATTATGAAGAAGACAAAAGTTATGCCATGAACATCAAAGCCACAGAAGGAGGGGGGCTGTCTGCTTACTGCAAAGTTGTTGTGGAGGTGCAGGACACCAGTGACAATGCCCCAGAGGTGACTATAACCTCCATCACGAGTCCCTTTCCAGAAGATTCACCTCCAGATACTGTTGCAGCCCTCTTCAGTGTCACTGATCAAGTCCCTGGATATAATGGCAGAACTTCCTGCACCATTGAGGCAAACTTGCCTTTCATGTTAAAAACCACAGAGAATAATTGTTACCAGCTGGTGACCCAGCAGTCCCTGGACTGAGAAAGAGTCTCAAAGTACAACATAGACAAAGGCTTATTCTGGTTCACTTCAATAAGACTAATTAATGTCCAGATCTCCGATGTCGATGACAATGCTCCCGGATCTGAGAAGTCAAGATATGAAAGGCAACTACAGGAAAACAATATTCCAGGTCTGCTGATAGGTTTGGTCTGAGCCAGAGATCTGGACACAGAGCAGAATGCCAAAGTGACCTATTCTCTGTTGTCTAGAAAGGTCAGTGATCAACTGGGAATCTGTATGCTATCCAGTCATTGGACTATGAGCAGGTGAAAGATTTCCAAGTGAATGTGAAAGCTGTGGATACTGGTTCTTCTCCCCTGAGATCCAAAGTTATTATCCAAATTGTTGTCTTGGATGAAAATGATAATTTCCCTTCATCCTGTACCCTCTTCAGAATGGCACTTCCCCATCCAATGACCTGGTTCCCAGGGGGCGGAGGCTTGCTACGCGCTCACCAAGGTGGTGGCAGTGGACAGAGATTCCGGTAAGAACTTTTGGCTTTCTTATGAGCTCCTGAAGGCCACAGAACCAGGTCTGTTCAGTGTGAGGTCCACAATGGAGAAGTGAAAACCATGAGACCCATTAACAAATGAGACACATTCAAACAGAAACTTATTGAGTTAGAGACAATGGTCACCCTCCCCAGTGCACCTCTGCAACGCTAAGCATTCTGCTAGTGGATAGCATTTCTGACCCTTATATGAAAATGGTGGATATCCCCAAAGATGAAGTGGTGGAAGAGGAAGACTGCACTCTTATGATCTATCTGGTCATATGTTTGGCTGCCATTTCACTCATTTTTCTGGTTTCTGTAGTGGTGTTTGTTGCCATCAAGATTCAGAAAAGGAGAAAGTTCATAGAGAGCTGTGCTTTGAATTTCCCAGTGGGACCAAATTTCCCTGAGAACTGTGGAGATGCTGATGGTGGATGCCTTTCCCTGGGTTACAACTATGTGGTGTGTTTAGCTGGAGGGTCCCTGAACAGCAAGTTCAGGTTTCTCAGGCCTCCCTTTCCTCTGTTTTCTCTGGAGCCTGCTCTAAATCAGGGGGATTCAAGGATTTCTGGTCATTGTACAGAAGATCAAATTAGGAGTCAGGTGAGAAGAATTGATTTACCGTAAAATTAGTGATAACTGAATTCTGAAATTATTGATATTAGTGACAGTTCCGTGTAACCCAGTCTCACTCTATCATCACTGAATCAAAAGAACTGAAACATAAATATAGCTTAATTACTATAAACTTAAGCCAGTTGTACTGACTGCATGGCTCACGGAGAGCCACATTTGCAATTACTATCCATTAAAAGAGCCACCTGAGTGCTGAATGCCCTGTGTATCACCTTACCAATTAAAGACATACAATAAGATATACCAAGTAATATTAAATATGCAACTATATCTGTAACTTTTTCAGGTAGCAGAATACCTCTGAGCATGAGAGGTTCTCTCTCCCCACCACTGTTGATCCTTAGGCAGTCCTGGAGTATATGGGGGAAGGGCCTGCAATTCAGACTTATGACACAAATGTGTGTGCAAACTTTAAAGTTCTCCAGAACTCTTTATTAGGTGGGATGTTTTAAAACAATGGCTCCATAAGTCAAAAGTGACCTGAGAACAGTGAGTGGTTGTTGGACCTTTCTGTCTCTGACACCAGCCCTGAAGCTCAGGGGGACTACCATTGTAGCCATCCTGCAGTGACAGTTGTTTCAACATGGGAAACACCTGCCAGTCATTAGCACCCCTGAACAATAACCTTGCCCACCTTCCTGAAATGTGTGATGGGTGCCACATCAGGGAAAGGTACTTAGAAGCACCACAGGTGGCATGTGAAAGAGCCACATAAGGCTCCCAAGCCACTGAGTATCACTGATTTAAGCATAATGCACACTGGCTTCCTGTTTTATGCAGTGGTTTTCAAACTGTGGGTTGGGACTATATTGTCTGGCTGGTCAGTTGCAATGCCGGAAGGGAGGCAGAGGGAAAAGGTGAGCTTGATGAGGAGGCAGTAAAAGCAGATGAATTTCCCTGCCTTTCCTTGGCATCCCATTCAGTGGGGAGGCACTCTGCCCTGTGTTCCTTCATCTTTCTGGCTGAAGTCTGTTTTGTCAGCAAAGGGAGTAGGACCCTCGTCACATGTTATGTTTTTAGATGTACTAATAATTGTCACTGTATGTAAATGAGAGCATTGAACATATTGATCAGGAGGGTGTGGTTTTTTATAGCTGTGTTTGAGCAGGTAAGTATTTTGCATACATAAAACACAAAATGGCTGAGAGATCTTTATGGAAGCTGTGGCTCACTATGGCTATATATTTATAAACCTTAGAAATAAAACACAAACCTTCCAAAGATTAAATGAGATCCTTACATTTTGTGTGCACAGGGGAGGCGGAGCAGGAAGGAATGACTTTGCAAATGGATTCTGAAACACAGAGTAAGATAATAGTCAATCTGTTCCCAAAAGTGAGAGAACTGGTGCTGCAATAAAGAAATATACAATTTTCATGGTTTTCTTCTGGTAGTACCACAAGATGGCAGTATCAGCAAACAGATGAATTTCAAATGCCGTTTCAGACATTTCATTTGTAGGAGCACTAGTAGAAACCTAACAGGCAAACCCTCTTTCAATGCAGAGGGAAGGTAGGTGCAGGATACATGGGAAGATCCAAGAAACGAAAGCAATGAATACAGCAGATCAAAATTAATATCTCTCACTAATACTCAGCTTTCTTGGCACCATGGACCATAGCTTCAGGATCATGAAAGGTCTGTACCTTTTGTTCTTACTCTTTCTGTCTGGAGTGGTGTGTGTCTCAATTCGCTATTCTTTGCCTGAGGAGAAGAAAAGTGGGTCTCTGGTGGGTAATGTGCTGAAGGATTTGAAACTGGGACCAGGGGAGCTCTCTGCTCGCAGAGCCCAGCTGGTCTCCAAAAGCCATAAGCAATATTTCCAGCTGGATACACGTTCTGGAAATCTGTTTGTAAATGAAAAGATAGACAGAGAAGCTTTGTGTGGCAAGGTGGAGCCTTGCTTACTGTTGTCTGAAATAGTGCTCCAGAACCCCTTAAAGATCTACAATATTGAGACTGAGATCAAAGATGTGAATGACAATTCTCCTGAATTCTCCAAAAATGAATTTGAAGTGGCAATTCCTGAGCATTTCCCTGCAAGTACTCGGTTCCCCTTGGAATCTGCCCAAGATGCAGACTTGGGTGAAAACAGTGTCCAGAACTACACACTGAGTCCCAATGAGAATTTTCAGTTGGAAATACGAAGTGGCAGGGGTGGGAAGAAATATCTGGACCTTGTTTTGAAGAAAATGCTAGACAGGGAGAAGGAGGCACATGTTGGGCTGACCCTCACAGC